TTAAATTCATATTTGAAACTTTTAAAGAAATATTATTTTTATTTTTACCTTTTTATATGTTTATAAAAAATAAGAATTCATGTTTCGGTCCGATCTATCTCACTTATGTTAGAAAATTATTTGAGACATAAATTAGATAGATTTATATTCTCAAAATTTCTCACTTTTTGTTTTATTCCCGTTAAATCCCATTATATTTAGGTTTACATTGTGTAAATATAATCATATATATATTTTAAACATTCACTAAAAATATAATCTATTATTTATATATTTGTTAGTATAATCGATAATTAGTAAGTTTTTTTAAACTCTTAATCAATTATCTTTTTTAGTTTATAATGTATAATATAAAAAAAGACCTTTCATATTCATTTTGGAAAAACTTATTTACATAAGTTTAAATATTAATATTAAATGATAAAATGGTATAATTAATTTTAAAAATTAAATAATAAAATGAGGTGGATGATGATGTGGCTTAAGGAGAAGAGAGAAAATGTTAACTTTATATATATAGATTCTTCTTTATAACTTTACACTATTCCGTAAAATCTTACCTCTCCAACTTACAGTTTTGACTACGTTACCAATCGGATTCATAATCTTTATAAGTATTTATTAACCAAAACCTAATTCTAACGCATGGAAGATATAATAACGCTGATATGTGGATACAAATTGTTAAGTATTATATGGTATCAAATTCCAAGAGATAACTAAAGTATCTAACGTTTGTAATGTACAACCTATTGGTGTGGATTTTATTATATATCTCGCAAACAAGGAATTATATTATGATGATCCATGCATTATAAATATATATAATACTTAGTGTACATGCAAGTTGATGTCACCTAAATAAAATTACATGCAACTTGACAGAATAAACAATAGTGTCGACCAAAAAGGAAAATAAAAACATTCTGATATATTCTTATTCGTATATACAACAAAAAGAACAAAAGTGGAGCAATCAATATGAGAGCAACGTTTAGAAGAAGATTTAATGCGACTCGATGCATTTTGGCATATTATGTGATTTTATGGGCCACCCTTTAATTTTAACTTGTATACTTTACAAAATTGCTTATTTATTTCAACCAACTATATTGATTTATATACTAAAAGTTTAACTTTAAAAGCATAACAATGGGTTGTTAATGGTGCAATTTCGTTTTATGTAAAACTAAAAAAAATGGGAAAATATACGTACGTGCTAATTTTATTGACCAAGATTTTTAAAAATATATATTTTGACCACTTTTGAAAATAAAATGTTTTGAGTTATATATACTATACCAAATACATTTTTTCCGAAAAATTAAAAAAGTTTTAAGCTTAAGTCCGTACATCTTCTCAAATCTAAAACCAAAACAGATTATATGATTTCGTTCCAAAGGGACATCGGAACCAGCAGTCCTTTTATTTTAACTTGTATACTTATATTTTTTTTTATCTATTTTAAGGGTACCAACCATATTAATTTCTACTAAAAGTTATATATGAGAACGTACAATGGGTTCATTAGTGGTGAAATTTTGTTTTAATGTAAAACTTAAAAAATTTGGAAAATATACATACATGTTAATTTTATCGGCCAAGATTTAAAAATTATTTTGACCATTCAAAATTCTAGAAGAATATAATAACCAAAGTTTGATTTTTCTTCCATATACACCTCATGGATGGTTTGCATAATTACGATACATATCTGATTAATTTATTTATTTCACAGTAATCACAATTGTTTTGTACGTTCTACTTGTTATTTATCAAATTCTTAGGATCTAAATAATGTGATCATTGAGATATATTTCACTTGTATATATAAATTTTAAAGTTCACAAAATTGGGGAATACACAAGAAATATTTTTAAAAACATCATCAACTGGTTTATGGTATTATAGCCTAATAGAAAATATTGATAGTCCTCAACCAAAGTATAAAGCGAGAAAAATCTATGGAAGGGCGATCTCACTTTATGATTGTGAATTCAGCGATAACTTAGAAATTTTACTAGTAAAAAAATACATATAGCCACTTGGCAGTCGCGAAACTATAAGATGATTTTTTTAAAAAAAGTCACGAATTTTTTTAAGCTACGACGCTATAGCCACGAAATTTAAGGCACAGCCACGAATAGCCAAGTGGCTATAACGAATTTTTTTACTAGTTAGGGTTCTTATGTTATCGCTGAATCATATTCTAGTTCGATATCAACTTAGGATCCAAAGTATATTTTAGTTCTTAAGTTTCTAACTAAAAACTAATTGGATAATGAGTTAAGTGACTCCTCTATTTTATATGAGACTTTGGATTACGTTTTCGACATGCTACTATCATTTCTATAAAATTATTTTTATCCGTTACACAAAAAGTCTAAGGCCATCATTATTACTGATGGTCTAATGTCTAATGTCATAAGGAAAAAAATAAATTAAATGCTAAGAGGTGACACCTTAGTTCGAAGAGAGTCTAATTTGAGAGTTCTGTTCGATTAGTCTAAGTTGACAGTCAAGAGAACTACTAGAGATAAGAACAAAGCTAGAAAACTTTGAACAAACCTGCGAAAAAATTCACTATACAAATCTCTAACGTGAGAATGACTTCAAGTTGAGTTTACATTTCACAACAAGATCGCTTAAATACATTAGACCCCATCCAAAGATAGCTGTGGCCGGAAATGCATGGACTATAAAATTGTGGTCCAGTCGAGTGATTTAGATGTTCACGTACATATACTTTAAATTATTTGGATGTATTATGTACAATTCACATTGATTCCAAGTCAAATTAAATCCAATGAACAAAATGAATGCATTACATGTATATACTAGAAAGATCATTACATGCATTACATGCTATTTACGTCGTTTAACATGTCTTTCACGTATAATCACACTATCTAGCTACACGCATACAAACTTAGATGTGTTGTGTATCAAAAACTACTACATAAAATCTCGATAGACATTTTCATGTTCGTGGCTACGCCTTAATATTCGTGGCTATAAATACATTTAGCCTACAAATCACAAATTATTTAAGTTACGACGCTATAGCCATGAATATTAAAGCGCAATCGCAAAAATTTAAGTGGGTATAAAGATTATTTTTACTAGTAGATATATATATATATATAATGACTAATACTTTTGGCTTCTTCTTCAATATAGTTGTGGTGATGTTAAAGAAAAGTTATATGAAATTAATATTGCAATTGGGATATGATTGCAAATATATGTAGATTAGATGATGCGTATCAAATGATGTCACAAAAAAAAAACAATGATGTGTATCATATATCAACATATTTTTTGTACATACTCTTTTAATTTAAGTACTTTGGTTGGTTATTCTTATTCACATACATAAATTAGTTATTTTAATAATTAAATATATAAGCTTTTTGATCAAAAGAAACTATTTTATATAACATTTACACCAAAATAATTAAAAAAAAAACTATTTTATAAAATTAATATGAGACTGTGGAAAAGTTAATCAAACTATAAAACTAAACAATTTTGTTTATATTTAGCGGAGTCACTAATGATGTAATGATCACTAGTAGAATAAAAAAACTTTTGTATGTATAAAAAATTTGGCACATGTCAATAATAATTCGTGTAAGTAGGATGATATATTTTCTTATATATTTTATTTTAGAATAAAGTAATTGTTATTGGTCCATATATTCAACCATAAAATAAGTATTGGTCCATAGCGAAGGGCCCAATCGAATCTTCAGCAAATAAGGAAAGGAAAGCATGCATTTCTTTCATATATGTACTCATCTTTTTACAGCTTTTCTTTACGATGCTATGGGGTCAAACCAGTTTGATGTAATGTTACATAAATGTTGGTTAAATACGAATTTCGGATCGAAAACATAGCAACTTTTGACCACCATTTATGATAAATACGATCGCCGGCCGGAAATTTCTAAGCAGATCATTCCAACATATTTTCGACAAATTTCCGATTGAACAATATATGATCGTTTTATATTTCCTTTTTTTTGACGAGCTTAGTTCTTTTGATCCATCAAACTTAACTAATGCATAATCAAATCAAAAATTTATTTCAAAATATTTGTTTAATTACCACTTTTATTCACCGCGATTTGAAAAATATGTTCTGCGTGTTTAAATGAAACTATATCATGGATGAAACAACATGATATTAAAAGAAAGAAAATTATTTAAATTTTTGTTCGTTTGAAAACTCTAATCTATATATCAATAATATATCATAATAAAATCTAAAGCAAAAATTTTTCCATATAAATTAAATGTCTATGAGAGCTCCCCCACCCTCCACAACATCACCACCACCACCCACTAACATTAATCACATGAACTTTAAAACATGCACAATAACATAAAGCTGAATTTCTAATCTAAAGACTCAATCAAACTCCTCAACTATAATTTATAAAAAGGAGTATTTGAGTAAAAGCTTCCATTACTTATAACTTCAAATTATCATATTGAAATATTTTATCTTATTTACAGGAACGAAATAAAACAGCAAAACATACATTAAACATTTAAACCAACTAAATATATACAGAAGTGGACCATCAATCTAATATTTCCTTCCTAAAAATCCAAAAATCTTTTGACCTAACATTGATCTAACCCTTCTTTCTAACTCTCATATGTCACAATTAAAGAGTTAGGAACATTACATTAATGCACCACTACTACCCTCTCTACTTTTAAGATAATCCAATCCATACTTTGCCAAATCTCATCAGGTTAACAATGTTGAGGATGAGCCAATATTGGTAACAAATTGCGTTGAACCTCAATATCCTCAGCTATCTTCTTGGCATCAATGGCTGCACCAAGCAGTCCAAGCTTTGTGAATCCGACCGCATACAATCCGCTTTCGCCTTTCCAACCGTTCGGAAAGGGTTTACGCGGAAATCCATCTTTCTCACAAAACATGTTCATTCCCTAATACAAAAGAGAAAAGACAATTCAAAGTCAAAACAAAGTTAATTCAACTATTGAAACGTAAAAATGGTTTGTGATATGTCAATATCAAGGAATTAAGAATAATGAAGATGTAGACGCATCATCGCTCATGGTACACACCTTTAGCCACATGGGTACGTTGCTTTTGTAACCCGTAGCGAGTATAATGGCGTCAAAGTTATCCACTCTCCCATCAACAAACTCTACCGAATGTTGCATTACCCGTTTCAACTCCGGATACACCTATATATAAATCAAATAAAAAATCATCAGTCTACCATAATGTCACGTTTGTGTATAATATATAGTTTTGAGAAAGACTTAATTAAGTAATGAACCTTGATGTGACCACTTCTGATTTTGGCAAGAGTGCCAACATCCAAAACAGGAGTCTTACCACACTTGATCTTGCGTTCAAGAGGGCCTAGTTTTGGTCGAACTAGCCCTAACCGATCCGTGTCACCAAGAACCAATCTTGACATACGTAATAAGAACCTGTCCACTACTTGCACTGGGAACCACTTGAGAAGGCTCGTGGATATCCCAAAAGTCGACATACCTAGCATTTCTTGAGGTAATACATGCACCTAATAGCATTAGTCAAAAAAACTCCATTAGCCTCATACAATTACAAAAGATCCAAATCATGTAATCACATGCATACCTTATTGGAATGTAATAAAAATGTAAACATTGGTTACTCGTAAGTACGTTAAACCCTAAAAGACTATAAAGAGTAACAATATACGAGCAACTATATTAAACATCTAGCATCATCTAGATCTTACGTATAATAAAGAAAAGATTGTATATTATAATCCTCACCGAGTCACGAACCACAAGAGAAGGATGAGCATTGAAGTTGCAAAGATCTAAAGAAACCTCCATGCCCGAGTTTCCACATCCCACGACCAAAACCTTCTTCTCTCTAAACATTTCACCACTTTTATAAGAGCTAGTGTGTAGGATTGGCCCGGCAAAATCCACAATCCCATCAATCTCCGGCATAACCTCCTCAGCATTCTCACCAGTCGCCACAACAAGCCACCGTGAAACATACTCAGTTGTCTCATCCTTCTTCCCTCCAACAGTCCTAACCCTCCACAACCCACAACGCCTATCAAACTTGGCCTCCTCCACGGTCTGGTTAAAAACAGGCTTAAGGCCAAAATGTTCTGCGTAGGACTCAAGGTATTGGACAAACTGTTGCTTTGTAGGGTAAGTAGGGTAACTTGAAGGGAAAGGCATCAATGGAAGCTCACAGAAATGTTTAGGGAGATGAAGTCGGAGACGATCATATGTTTTCAGCTGCCATAATGATGCTACACAAGTGGAACGTTCTAGTATCAGACTAGAGACGCCTCTAGACTTCAAACAAGCCGCCGTGGCCAAACCTGACGGTCCTGAACCGACAATGATTGGTCCAGGGATCAATATGCACCTTGAGTCCTCCACATATGGATCATGGACTCTCTTGCCTAACGTTTCTGTTACAAACTCCATAGAAGAGAGAAAGAGAGATAGAAAAAAAAAAGAAAAAAAGAGATCTCAAGATTTGCAAGAAAGTGAAGTAAGAGACTGAGATTGGATTAGGTTTTTAAACCCATTTGGTAAACAAAGATCATACTCTCTTTTGTGTCCCGAGAATAAGGGTGAAAAGAGAGAATGAGTTTCATTGATCTTATCTACAAAAAAAAACAAAAAACAAAAAAAGAAGAAAATAACACAAAATAGATAAGAAGAAGATCGGATATTCCCTATAAATCAGGACGAAAATATGTATAGTTTTTTATTATATAGAAAACTTGAAGATTTTGTAATTAAGAAAAACAAAATAAACTCTCAAGAATTGGGAGATTTCAAAACAAAGATTTCGGATTTTTGAAGAAGAGTTTTGCGGTTCTGAAACAAACACTTGGGGAAAGAGAAGCAACTCTATATAAGAGTTGGAAAAAGAGAGATGAGATGGCGATGGACACATGACATATAATAAAAGATATATATATATATATATATGTTACATGTTTATTTTGTATATATATAGGTAGATACGTTAGTGGTATGGGCATGTTATGTTTTAATTTTATTTAATTACTATACTTTTTGTTTTTGTTATTTTCAAAAATATACTTTTTTATATCGATTATTATGGGCTATTGGGATTTGATAAATGATAACGAATCCTTAACTAACGATTATACTTTTCTTTCCTTTTTAGGTATCACACTTTAATTTTATTTTTGATACTTTTTTTTTTGTTTGCATTATTATCAAAATAGAGCAAATTTAGCCAACCGAATTATACCAAAAGGCCCAAGTTAAAATATATTTTTAAAACCAATCAACACCCACTAAAAAAACCCAACTTGGAGAACAAAAGATTTCATATATACAATCCTAGGTGTATAATAGAAGACAATAACTTCAACTAGCTAGAGTTCATAGCTGTCTTTTAAGATGTTCGTCAACTAGTTAAGCATTGTAATATTTTTGATATGATCCAAGAATTAGCTGGTTGTGCAATATAGTTAGATGAAAATATTTGCAGGTTCAGAGCCGGTCCGGAGCAGAAGCAACATAAGCCACGGATTAGGGTACACAAATGTATAAACCTAACTAATAATATATAATCCTTTTCGTCGTTACCATTAAACTTCTCTTTTTCCGTTTATGAATCGAAAACATACAAAAAATGTTTAAGAAGTTAAGTTCGATTAGAGCACTCACAAACGTTAGACCGGCTTGCGCGGTAAGAGCAGGGAATTTTAGTTGAATGTTGTGGAACATGACGTATAAAGTATCCAAAGAACATGTTCTGGTCTCGGGTTTGAGGGGATGTATGGGTTTCGGCACAGAACCTCTTAGTTATTCGAAAAATTTAAAAAGGGTTCAAAAGAACAAAGATGGTAAACGAATATCCCCGGCCCTAGCTCTCACAACACCAACAACAAAGTAATTGGGAGACATGATGGGAAAACATGAAACTAAAATTGTTTTCGTGTGTGCCCCAACAAAGTTGGGAGAATCTTTTGCTGATTTTGCATTTTCTCTGAGTGTTGTCTATAAAATCAAAGATGCAATTAAGATGTTCTACAGCTCCTTCAAAGTTGCATTCCCTCTGGTGAGCATTTAACTTTGTATCATCCAATGGTGAAGGCTTATAAGAATGAACCAATGCTTTTGTTTCTCCTTTTATAACCTTACTATATAGTATCAATTATTTTTGGCTAATAAAGATTACCCTGTCAAAATATAACATTTAGCAAATGTTGTTCGTTCAAAGTTTATAGATCTTTTAATTATTTTTTTTTGTTTTTTCAGTTTAAGCTTAATTAGAGAATGTTTTTGTTTTGTTTTCTATTATCAGATGTTTTTAAGTTTCTATGTAAATTATATATTCATTTAACATTTTTTATACTATACAGTTTTTTCTTATATGATTAGTTGAACATTTTAAAAATAAACGCTACTTTACAATCCATATAATGTTGCGTCACTATATATATATAGTACATGAAAACTCTTATACATCCATTACAAAAGTATTTTAGACATGGACGTTGATAATTTCGAGACTCAAGCTTGTAAGAACATGTTGTTGTATGCAAAGAGTACAAAGCTAAACCTGAACATAGATTACACTGAAGCATCCAGGTTCTTTGTAAGAACATGTTGTTGTATGTCATGATCTTTCATTGACAATATCTTTGTATCCTGTTCTAGTAAGAATTATATTCTTTCACTGATTGTTTAAGTGTAGGTGATGACTCTTCTAGGGTGTTTATTTACTTCGGATACTGCCTTAATGGACACATTCCTGAGGAAACATTGTATGGCAAGGAAACCTAAACCGTTGACAACACTTGTGCAACAAGAAACAAGATTTTGAAGAGGAGAAACCAATGGACTTGTTCTAAACATTGAAAGCTTATGTTAGAAAGTCAGACCGGGCGATTCTTTACGCTGAATACAACGAAGAATTTGTCGATTTCCGTTTCACTTTTCTCGGTATACTGCTTGAGTAATGCTTGAGAACTCTCTGCTGACAATGTGAATATGGGGTTGTTGGGAACTTGTGTAGAAGCGTAAAAGTGTTGATCAGCTTTGAGCAGAACTTAGACACCACTAGTGTTTTCAAATAGATGCTTCCTAGTTCCTTACTACTATAGTTCTCGTTGTACATAGCTCTTTTGCAAATGCATGCCATAAGCTTATTAAGAGCTTCTTGATCACAACCTCTGCATTATCCATTGGTCTCTCCAGTTTCCTGCCAAATGAAGTAACTCCATCAACACATATAAGATACCAAAATTTGCAAAGGAACACCGCAAGTGTGTTGTGCTTTGATAGTAATCTTTCTCTTTTTCGTTTCCATCAATTCTTTCAAGTGACTCTAGACTAGTAGAGAGAACTCAAATAAATATAATTTGAATAGATCTTTGTTTCTAACCTTTCCCCATACCATCCTTATGATATCATCTTCAATAATGATATTAAAAAAAAAATTCAGAATAAGAACCATAATCTCGCCAAGAAAATTATAATACTTTATTAATATACAAGTAAATCCTCGTTAAATTAATAACGTTGGGACCATACAAATTTATTAATTTATCGATAAATTAAATTATAGAGAGATTTTCTTAATATAGTAAGATATGATTTATTGTTTTATAGTATATTTTATATATTATTTTATTGTTCGATAAATTTATTGTTTTATAGTATATTTTAAAGATATGATTTAATCCTTATAACTATTTTCTTTAGAATTAATTACAAATATAATTACAACTACCATGTCTTGGAAAAGAACAATAATTTTTTTATACAATAAAAATATTGGAAATGAACTCTAAAAATTTAATATGTATATAATTTTTAATATAATATTATTATTTTATTATATTATTGAATTGTGTCTCAAATTATAATTAGCCAGTTTGAGATCGAAAAATATTTATTAATTTATCGAATATCGATGATGATGGATAGCAAAAGAGACCTCTTAATTTGTTGAGCTTTTACCGTACATTTGTTACCAAGTTTGGTGTGGACTCCAAGGAATATGCCGATAATATTTTGCAAAATATGCCTTGAATATTCTATAGAATATGTCGAGGATATTTTCCCGGAGGCCTATCTCCTTCTACTATATAAAGGGAAAGAGGCTCTAATTATTTTTCACACTCAAACGAAAAGTATCTAAACCCCTCAGTTCTAAATCTATCTTCTCCCTTGCTTAGTTTAAGTAAGTTCTTAGTTTTATAGTTTTGAGAGTGTAGTAGATCTAGTTCGTTTGAGTCTACTACTCGTGTGCTCGAGTAATAATTCAGGATTGGTTGTATCGTGGGATTCGTAAATCGTGATAGACTAAAACACTTACGGCCGATTTATTGAATTAAGAACAAAGATATCATATGTTTCCTGCAAGTGTGTTGTAGCTTTGATAGTGATCTTTCTCTTTTTTGTTTTTTTTCCATTAGTTCTTTCAAGTGACTCTAGACTAGTAGAGAGAACTCAAATAAATATAATTTGAATAGATCTTTGTTTCTAACCTTTCCCCATACCATCCTTATGATATCATCTTCAATAATGATATTAAAAAAAAAATTCAGAATAAGAACCATAATCTCGCCAAGAAAATTATAATACTTTATTAATATACAAGTAACCTCTATAAATTAACAACGTTGGGACAATACAAATTTATTAATTTATCGATTAATTAAATTGTAGCAAGGTGTTTTTTTTATTTAGTAAGTTTTTAGAATTGTATATTTTAAAGATATGATTTAATCCTTATAACTAATTTTTTAAGAATTAATTACAAATAAATTTACAACTATCATGTCTTGGAAAAGAACAATAATTTTTTTATAAAATAAAAATATTGGAAATGAACTCTAAAAAATCAATATGTATATAGTTTTTAATATAATATTATTATTTTATTATACTATTGAGTTGTGTCTTAAATTATAATTGGCCAATTTGAGATCGAAAATATTTATTAATTTATCGAATATTAATTTGTAGAGCTTTTACGTACATTGGTTTTGTATGCAATAATTAAGACTCTTTATCAAAATATAATCAAGAAACATAATATAAAGTTGCAAAATGTGCAACATAGTTGATATGGCCGAGTTGGTCTAAGGCGCCAGATTAAGGTTCTGGTCCGAAAGGGCGTGGGTTCAAATCCCATTGTCAACATTTTGTTTTTTATTTTTTTTTCATTTTCCAAAATAAATTTTACACCGTCGATATTATCCAACGGTTCTCACCGCTCCACGTATAAAGAATATTATAAGAAGAGTCCAAAAAGTCTTCTTCTCTATCAAAACTCAAAATCTCAAGAATAAAACCCAAAACTTTCCAAAATCGACATTACACCCCCTCCTCCTAACCCATCTTCTTCGATTTTGAAACGATAATTAGATTTTAACCCGCGGGATGATATTCTAAAATATATTTTTTTATTAATTTTGTTTGGTATATAAAAGTGTACTACTATATTTTCATCGTTAATTTTATGATTTAACTCGTGAAATATTGTATGATAATTTAGCTTTTATATAATCGTAATTTGATCAACTTAATTAAATAAATATAACATTTAAACTAATGAAATGATGTTGAAAAAACATTTTTTGTTTAAATAGTATAATTTCATATAAATATTTTGTAAGTTATACTATAATAGACAACCCATAAAAACATCTATAATCATAATTATGTAATTTATAACTTGTTCCATCACATCACCCGTGCTACACAATTACCAATAATACTTTAATACATACATTTGTTATATGTAAGAATATAAATTTAAAAACAAATATGATCATTTAAAGATATTTAAGAAATTTTCAGTTTATTAGAAAGATATTTCAGAAAATTTTGTTAAATGTAATAAATACAAATTTCTAATTTTATAATTTTATTATGATTTAATTAAAAAATTTTATCTAAACTTTTATCATTTAGTCAAATGGCAAATGTTTAATTATGCAAATATTACAAAATAAAAAGGTAGAACACAAAAGATATTTTTAAAAATGTTTATATAGATAGCGTCGATATAATCCAACGGTTCTCTATACGTGGAAGAGTCTAAAAAGTCTTCTTCTCTATAAAACTAAAAACCTCACGAATAAACCCAAAAACTTTCCAAAATCGACATTACACCCTCCCCTGAACCCATCTTCTTCGTTTTGAAAACGATAATGGCGTCGACGAAGCAACAAGACTACGGCGTACCTTATACACCTCTTCCTTCATCACAACCCTCTCAAACCGTAATCCTTCTAACACCTTACCGCCGTCACCGTCGTCCTTCATTCCTCCGTAACCTCCGTTGCTCTCTTCTCTTCACCGCCGCAATCCTCCTCCTCTCCGCCGCCGTTTACTTCCTTTATCCTTCAGATCCAGACATCACTGTCACACGAATCGATCTTAACCACATAAGCGTCCTCGATTCGCATAAAATCGCTTTGGATCTTTCGTTTTCGCTCACGATCAAAGTTGAGAACCGTGATTTCTTCTCGCTTGATTACGATTCGCTCGATGTTTCGATTGGGTACAGAGGAAGAGAGTTAGGTGTTGTGAAGTCTAAAGGTGGTCATCTTCGTGCTCGTGATAGCTCTTATATTGATGCTACTCTTGAGCTTGATGGTCTTGAGGTTGTTCATGATGTGATTTATTTGATTAGTGATTTGGCTAAAGGTGTTGTTCCTTTTGATACGATTGCTACTGTTAAAGGTGATCTTGGTGTGCTCTTGTTTCAAATCCCAATTCAGGTATGTCTATAGTATCTGTAGCTGAGTTCTCTGTAGCTAAGTTAGGGTTTTTGAAACTATGGTTTGATAGGGGAGAGATTTGTGTTATGCTAGCCCATGAAGGTTTTAGATGAGTTAGAGAATAAGGTATTGAGTGTAGTATGTACTAAGGGTTTTGGTGGTTTTAATGGTGAAGAAACATGAGGGTGTTTTTTGGATAGGGATTCGTTTTTTTTTTCCATTCTTCGATCAGTGGTTCTTGTTGAATTGTCTTAGGTTGTAACTTTGTATTGGTTGTTTCATTACTTGTGAATGATGATGATGATGAGTTTGAAGGAATATGTATTTGATGGAAAGGTTTGATTTTGCGTTGCTTTGTTTAGATTTTAGTTTCGAGTTTGTAGACCGGGATTGTAGTTTTCTTCTGGAATATGTTTGCTCTGTTGTGTTCTACCTTTTTTTGAGCTGGTCGGGGTTTCATTACATTCTGAGATTGGTAGCGGATATTTGTATTGGCTGCTTCATTAACTGTGAATGATGATGGGTTTGAAGGAATCTCTATTTGATGGAAAGGTTTGATTGTGTTTAAGATTTTAGTTTCGAGTTTGTAGACCGGGATTGTAGTTTTCTTCTGGAATATGTTTGCTCTGCTGTGTTGTACCTTTTTTGAGCTGGTTGGGATTTCTTTACATTCTGAGATTGGTAGGGGATATGTGTCTTGGTTGTGCCTCTCTAAATGTTATTTGGGATCATTAGCCCTAATGTTTCACATTGTTATCGGGTAATGGAGGAGAAAGAGTGACATTATATTACAACTACTGTCACTTCCTGCGAGAACCTATACTTAATTGAAGTAAACAATATCAGGAGTTCCTAATTTTGTATAGTTTTTTTTTTGAATAACTTGTATGGCTTAAACATTAGGTTCTTCAATACTGTTGTAGTTTCCATGTTATGATTGAAAAATCTGATGTTTTAATACATGGATAAAATTGTTATCCTGCAGGGTAAAGTGTCCTGTGAGGTGTATGTTAATGTTAGCAACCAGAAGATTTCACACCAGGATTGTCATCGTAAGGTAACCTTGTTTCTTTCCTTCCTCATGTGATCTAACTGGAATTGTATTGTGTTATTGTCTCTATAAGACTATGCTCAGGTAGGTGAACAGGATCAAGTTTATAGAAAACATAGTTTTTATATTTGAGGTAGAAGTAGAGCATTTTGCCACTCATGAGGTTACTGTGAAAGCTAATCGAATGTTTCCTCATTGGTATGAAAATGTGCAGTGAAATGAGATCGTGAGCGTGGTGAGACAGGGAGAGACTGGTTACTGGAGTAATGTTTTGTAAGTTTTTGTGTATAGATAAATACTCTTAATGTTAAACTGAAAGATAACGCGAAAGACGAAGAATTACTTACTCTCTGTAAATTCCTTTCTTAATTCCTCAAATGAGTACAGTGTTTGCTTTTACTATGAACTTGAATAAACCCACTCTGTATATGTTTCATCAATCATAACCGATGTAATTCTAAGTCTTCAGAGACGTATTGGATCTATAAGCAGAGTAATGATATAATCCTTGAGTTTCCCTTCACTACAATTGTAAATATCATCAGATTTGGTGTAGAGGAGTTCAAGTAATCGTTCGAAATTGTGTGCTTGCTTGAGAACTCGACGTGGCACGCATGTTGTCTTCAGTAGCTCCTCATTTATGGTCTTATTTATGTTTACGATCATTCTTTCACACCCAAGAATAGCTTCTTCCTTGGTAACTACAAATTGCTTCATATAATAGTTGATCGCATTCGCAGCAAACCCATTACTCATGTCGTTCTGACAATACCAAAACACTTTAGTTATAGGAAAGGTAACACCAAAAAAAAAAGCAAATATTTTCCAAATTTACCTCAAAATCAGTTATGTCGTCCATAAGACGACCCTTTGCTGCAAGAGATTTGATTAGGCTTGGTCTTGATCTTACCCACTCGTAAGCTTCTTTCCCGACAGTCTCTCCCATTCCGACAAAAGAATACATTAACGTTGCATATGTGGTAAGTGCTATCCCACCAACCTCTACATGTTCTTCAAAGCTAGGCACTTCTTCTCCTTGTGCCCATTTGACAAGATCAAGGTTTGACCTAACGAGTATCTTGAACTGTTTACTCCCATACATAAATATATTGTTACAAGCGATAAGTATTGTGAATAATGATTTGTGTTTTTTACTTTCTTTCTATGAACTGTAAGAAAAATGGTTTATATTAATCACCTCTTCTAACATCTCCTTCGAATGGTAGGAGCATCCTTCAGACCTCACTCCTCTTTCGATATCTTCAAAAACATCCAGCGCAAGTTTGAAGATAATTCGCGATATATCTTGTAGTGTGTCAATGCCATCAGGACTCCATCTACATATTATTTAGGACATCTCTATATTAGTAAAAGACAAGTACAAAATAAAATACGGGTCGGGTCAAAATTAAAAATTAACCCAATTTTAATAATTGGATACTTCAAAGTTGGATATTAAAATGGGTTTGGATACATACATCGGATACTTTTCATATCTAATTTTAAAATTATATTATTTCCATAACTAATTTTATGATTTCCTAATATCTCTCTAACTAATTTAATATAATATATTAAAAACAATTATCATTCTTCTTTAACATTTATTTGATATTATTTTTAATTTATGATATTATACTATATAATAAAAATATTTAATAAAAAATTTATTTTACTTTTTTGCATATGTTGCAATTTGAATGTTTCAAAACGGACATATAATACTCAACTACACTCGGTTAAATATTTTAGAAAATGATTTAAATCAGTATGATCAATATTAAAACCATTGTTACATGAGCGTATTTAAAAGTTCAAAAAGTTTTAAAATATTATAATTAAAAGGTTGAAATATATAAAATAATTAGAATTTAGAATATTAAAAGTACTTTTTTGTGATATAATTACTATTGAT